GACCAGGAAATTAAACCGTATACATATTATATACGTGTATATATATGTAATATAATATTTTGACCGTTATAAATTGTTTCAATAAACTTCTTATAATATACATTTGAAGCAAACATGGAACCCACATAAATAATGCAAAACGGAATAACATAAACCCAAAAATAACGAGCAAAAATAAAAAGTGTGTAGCATATAACATTATTAAGAACAGCTTTCGACGAACTCTTTACTTATTATGAACATAATTGTATACATATATATACATATATATATATATATGTATATATGCATTTCACGTTTAGGTAAATGTCGGTCCTCTCATATGATACCCAATGACGAAACAAAGGTATATTTGTAAACATATGGATTATAATTACTGTATAACATTTTAACTTTTGAGTTAAAAATCAATTTCATAGGCGGGGTCGGCTTTAATAATTACGTACGGACCATGAGGTGTTTAATTTACATTACACATTTAATGTTCAAATAGGAACCGATTTGTTAAAAATAATTATAATTTATAACCTTACACACGTTTTAGCTAAAATCTTTTAGACTTATTTTGTGTTAGTTTATTTTTAAAATACATTTTTCTACTACTGTACTAATTTATTTCAGTAGTCTTTATTGAAAATCAATTTTTAAATTGGAATTCCATTTAATTACTAATGATTTTATTACAGTTAACACATCACACCAATTAATTCTCTGTTTTTATAATGAAATAAGAATTACTCGAAAAATAATATGATTAGCTTTAGGTAATACATCTATAATACAAAAAATAAAATAGTAACATAAAAATAATAAACCTATGGCTTAAATTGAATGGAAAAAATATTGTAATATATATTATAAAAAAAAATAACAAAGTAAAATTAAACAAATTGGGTGGTTTTATAGATTTTTCTTAGTTATAAAATAATTTAACTACATATAATATTAATTTAAGGCAATGATTTTTACAGGAAAAAATCAAGAAAGTTATAGATTTTAGTAGCTTAATATTTTGTGAATTATATTAAGTAATATTCTTAGGTCAAGTGAGATACAGGAATGGATGAATGGTATTGCTGTATTAGTCTTTTAAACTTAAGACCGATGTATCATTGCTCTCGAAAAAACAAAGTGAAGAAGGAAGGGTAGTTTATATTTATAAAAATGGTTGATAGAATAGATCGACCAAATTTATTTGAAAAAAAAAATATATATCATTTATAATTTTAGAAAATCAAAAATTACTAGTGCTTATAAATAATAAAATTTTTATTCTATGCTTTTATCGTCAATTAAATAACTAATATTTTTGAAAAAATACTTGTTGAAATAACCAATTTCATCAGCATTTAATTTTGTAATGACTTTGTAATGACTAAATCATTAATATTAGTGTCCAGTTATTTTAATTTTTTTTTTTTTTTTGCTTTAAAATAAAATCTTATGAAAAACTCGTAGGTATTCAATCTTCAAATCTCAAGAATAAAAAATTGAAAATTTTATAAATTTTTGATCATGACAGCGTAGTGAATTTTTCAAGCACAGTAATCTTTCTGGTCGAAATACTGTACACGGATAAAAAAAATAAATATTCACACATAAAACCTTTGATTGATACATTTCTCATTTCACTCAGAATCTAAAACTGTATGGGTATTTCCTCTATGATAAATATTGTATGAAATATTGACCAAGAATTTTGTGATAAATTTGATGCAATATTTTGGAAGATTTTAATTTGTTTATGACTTGGCGGGTGTAAATAAATTTGTACATTTGATATGGTCGTGAATGACAGATCGTTTAACGCTTAGTAGATCGATCATAACAATATAAAATTAGTGTAAATCATTCCTTTTTTCGTTTTAAATTTCATCACCTACTAATAAACGGTTTTCAGTCCGAGACAACACATTCGGAAGTGGCATACTCTTAACATCGAATATAATATGCATTGTTTTGAATTGTCAGCAATGGATGTCGGTTGTGATGAGACTGCACAACAGTTTAGTAAAAATAATTTAATCTCCCACGATTTTTTTCCTAATGGGAATTATGACCCACAGTATCGCATCATGTTTGAATTAATTTATTTAGTGCTTCATATGCACGAACGTAATTGTGTGTGTTGTAATATATGGAAAGTCCCACTACTACACAACCACGATGCCTGTCTGTTCACCGTCCATTATTTTTTCTACCACTTCAAAGGTTATTTTTTACCGTTTAAAATTACTATTCCCTATAACCACACGGGCACATTATGTGTACGTACATAATATATTGAATATATACACGAATGTGTATATGTGTGTAAATTGTGAATGTTTATAGAAATATTATACATATTTATATTAGTCAGTATTATTGTATATATTATATTATGTGAATTTTGCCGAGAGCAAAAAAAAAACATTGGTGAAAACATGGAAAGAGGATGAAGAGAGGACAAGAGATAATAAAAGTTCAACGTACCAGAGAGTAGGATAACCCACAATCTTTGAAAACGAGTAACGTTTTATCTTTGAAAACCATATTGATGCCAACTTAGAGGTGCTTCGTAAAATTTGTCATACCAGTCCCGAGCGTATTCCATTTTGGTATCATGTTTGACGAGAGACTACTTAATGTGCCATAATTATTTAATCGATCTTTTAATTATTTAAATTGTTTCCTCCTTGGTTTGGCTGATTTTCATTGTTGATAAATGACTAGGCGTTGTTCGGTAAAAATGATATTTTTAGAAATGTACATAATAATTATGTGTCATATGTAGGGAACGGATTTATATGTAAATGCATATTTTTATTAAAACGAGATATTTAAGATTCGATAAGAAATGTTTATGATTTAAATCATTCCTATTAAAATTATGATACTTTTATTTTACATATTTTTACATATTTTGGTATAATTATATATTTTTACATATTTCACTAATTTTGAAAATATTTTTAAACATATTTTTATCATTTCATCATTCATACGTCTTCTTCGTACGAAAATACAAGAAATTATTTTAAAATTAGATCCAGAAACTTTTATCGCTATTGGAAAAGCTCAAAATATTATGCAAAATAATTTAACAAAATTATTAATAAAAAATATGTCCCCAAATGATAGTATGCAAATTGTTAAATCAGCGATTAAAACTCGTAAGCGGACCAATAGATGTCGTAAAAAAGAAAATTCATGCTGTTACAGAAAAAAATTCCAGGCAATATTGATTTTAAAACAATGATATAATGATTGGCAGACAACCTTTTAAAAATTTGGAATTATCGCCTTCTGATAATATACACTTGAAATATGCTTTAAATACATCGGTTGATGTGAAACGATAATTTAGCAGTTATAAAAATATTTTGATACCTAATAAGCGACATTTAGCATTTGATAATTTACAAGATATTGTAATAATTCAATGCAACAAATCTTTTTGATAATTTAATAATAATAATCACTTTTTTTTTAAATTTTTTTTTCCCCACATATTTGGATGTTTTTAGCACATATTTTATAAATTATACTTACATATATATGTACATATTTTTGTATTTTAATTACATATAAATCCGTTCCCTAGTCATATGTTATCATTATATGTTTGGTTACTTATTAAAACTTAAAGCCGAGTTCTTCGAAAAGTTCGATTTTATAAACTAGAAATATTATATTTTTCAAAATCAAAAACCTATAAGATAAATCGTATGAAAATTATTGTGTAACATCAAATAATTATTGCAATCAATCTTTTTGTTTTAAAATATTTATTCAAGAAATTAACTTATTTCATTCATTTTGATCTAAAGTTTTCACGGAAACCAAAAAAGGATAATATTATGTTATTAATTTGAATATTTCAAGATACACTGTCCGCTTATAGATATTTGCTATTTTAATTTAAGTACAACGCTATATAATTTCCAGTTGTTTATATTACTATACTCTTAAGTATCATAAATTGTAATGATTTAGAACGGGGATTTTTAAACTAAATTTTCACAAAGCTTTATTCTAGATTAAAGTAAAATTAAATTAAATCCTATAGAATACAATAATAGAGATTTATTATTAATTAAATATATTGTCGTTATAATATTGTACCACTGTTCAAAGTTCATTTAGTAAACAACATAATACAACAAACACCATACATTCAGAAAATAATTCAAATTGTTCCAAAGGTATGCAGTAAAATGTTGTTATTCATTTTTATTAATCATTCATAAGCAATATCATTAAGTATAAATAATATTTATAATTGAGATAAATCAAATATTCAAGATAAATATTTTCAATTAAAAATGGTATGAAAATATGGAAATGTAAAATACATATATTTACATATATTTTTTATGAAATAATTTCCTCGTTGTACAATCAAAGTGAGAACGAAAAAATTGATGACAGCAGTAGTGATGAAAGCACGAGTACACCTAAAGAACCATCATCTGTTGAACTATTTGCCATATTTAAAATTGTTCATGAATGATTTAAAAAACTAGCCGAACATTGTCCAACACAATTACTTTTTCTTAGAAGTTTGCAAGATTTAGCATCAGAAAAGCACCTTATAGCTTTTTGTCAAATAAAAACGGACAGTTTTATCAAAAAAAAAAAAAAAAAAATTAAAAATATATATCAAATATATAGTCTTATTTATTTCTAAATAATGAAATTTACATACAATACTATATAATGATAAAACTAATATGATTTTTTTTATGATGTGCATGATTATTATAATATTCTATGTATATACTAACATGTAACATGTTCATGCCACACAGCAATGATATATTTATATAAGGTTGAATAAATGTTTAAAAATTTATACTGAAAGACATTTTACTCATAATTTATCTTCAAACGTACAAAATACATAACACAAAAATATTAAAGAAATTACTTATATTAGTCATTTAATTAAATATATTCTAAAATGTATAAATGTAAATGATTTTTAATATATTCATAATGATAATGTATTATGTGTTAAATTTTGTATAAATGTAATTTTGTAATTTTGTTAAAAATGTATCTTACCAAAAATTACAGAACAAGCCAAATTTGAAAACTTTTTTTTCCTTTTATGCCGGTGTATGAAAAATCTTTTAATAATTTATCTTTAAATAACTTTCCCATAACCCGCTTTGTCATTGCTTAAACATGTTTACCGCCTATGTAAGAAATTTCATTTACCTAAAAAATTAAAAGGTTCATTATATAAATGTGAAGAATCATATTTGTATTAATAATAAGCTAATATACAATATAATAATTATTCTTACTAAATTTGTACGGAAATTGATATCTCCAGAAATTTTTTCATCAAAGACTTCAAGATAACATTATCAAGAGGTAAATTGTAATCTGCTATATATCATTTAAAGAAGATGATTTATTGTTACATGTAGACGTATGTTGAGTTGATGTATTTTCTAAACAAGTGTCTATTAATTCCAATCTTTAAACCATATCTCTTTGGTTGTTAACTATTTGATTCAAATCAAATTTCAGAAAAGTTAGTATGTGAAGAACTTCTTTTTCAAATTCAGTGCTTGAACAAAAACGTAAGAAATCTAATTTAATTTTTTAAATACCAATATTTAGTAGAAAATGTCATATTATCAATTTTTGTTGTTAATTTTATATTTTCATCAGTTAATTTAGAATTTATTTAATAAGATGTGCTTGGTTGTATTTTACATTGTGAATTATTTTCATTGTCATACAAAAAATCTACAATTTCAAAATCTTCTAAAAACCTACTTTGTTTAGTAGACCTACTAACAATATTATTCTCATGTGCCATACCTATTTATTTTAAAATCTACCTAACCTACCTAACCCTAAGTTTATAAATTAAACAAAAAAAAAAAAATTTACAGTCTGTAACTTCATTATAGTTATAAAAAATTACCTATGTACCTACTAAAGATAAAACTAAAAATATGTCTCTATCAATAAAGTATAATTTTTTATGAAACTGTTTAACAATAGGATCAATTGGTACTATAAAATGAATTTAAATTACAAAGATTTTCAAAAATAATATTATATAAAGTAATAAAAGTGTACCGAAATTGAACTGAGCAGAGTTAATTTATATGAGTATGCACAGTCTAATAAACAATGCTGGTAGCTGACACAACTGATTAAGTTCTTTAGTTATTTAAAAAATTGTTAATAACAATAAATATTTAATTAGGTATGTGCACCTGTATGTACTATAGCTGCCAGAAAAACTGCGATCTAAGAAAGAAAAAAAAAGATATATGATATTTGCATTTCTTATAAAACTTAAATTTTATTAAATATATTAATTAGTATTATATAATAAATTTCACTTACCAATATATTATTAAATTTTTTTTTTTAAATATTTCAAAATTTAACTCAGTAGGTAATAATCAATGTTAATAGGCAATATAAACCGGAAGTGTAAAAACTTTATATAAATGGCAAAAGACTACGCACAGTTTTGTCAGTTGACACTATTAAAACAATAAAAGCATTAAATTTAACGTTAAAACAGTTAAAATAACAATTGTAAATGTATTTCGTATGAGGTATGAGTAATCGTTGGACATTGACGAAATAAATTACAACATGGAAAACGAAAAAATGACGGATAATATGCAATGACTACTATCGATGTCAGACGCCAAATGCTTAACACTATACAGTAAACAGTTTTGAGTTTGACGCCGTTGACCGGTTCAATCGAACCTCCGCGCCCGCGCTCCATGCCAATTTTCATTAGATAATGTTTGCTGCCAGGCCGTGCCGGCGTGTGACGACTGATATTAATGATTTTATGCGGTAATTCCCGTGTTAAATCAATCGAACGATAGAATATTAATACTTTGTACAGCACCGCTCCGTCATAGTACACCCCAGCTATGTAGCTGATAATCTTTGATCGTGTAGTACACAAAAACAATATTAATAACCACAAAATTGAAATTAAAAACAAATTTAAGGAAAATACAGATAAATAAAATAATATTTTATTTTAAACGGAATGCACACGACTGCAAACAGCGGTTCAAACTTCGATGTCAAATAATAATAATTTTCGTAACTCAAGTCACCACGTCCATATAATATTTCATACTGTGAAAAGAGAATTAGGGGGTTTGATTCCGTAAATTTCCCTACCCATGTTAATGGCCCCGAGTCTATTTATATTATTTTTACATATCGAAAATTTATTTATTTATAAAATAAATAGGTACAACCTATGTTTTACGTTTATATGGATATTATTCAGAAAAGTGGAATAACAAAGTACAAATATACAATATTGCGTATCAATAGGTATTTAAATACCTGAAAATTTAATATTTATTTTTAAATCTATATAAACTATAAATTTAATTAAAATTATGAATATTTTGTGAATATTGAGAGTTAAGAATTAAATAAGTATTTAAACTCTCAAATTGAATAAAAGTTAATATATTAAGTTTATTTTAATAACTATTACCAACTATTACCAAATCAAATATAAATATTAAAATATTTAATAAATATTGTAAAATATTTTATTTTTAAAATAAAATAATTATACATTTATTCAATAAAGTATTAACTTTTAATTTTAAATATTTTAATTCTAATCAAAATTAAATATTTATACAATCGTTTTGATTAACAAATGCTGTGTGAGATTATATTTAGATATGTTATGGTTTAAACAATTTCCAATATCTGAACATTCACGTATCTGAAGAAGGTGAGATCCCAATTAGTTCGGACAATCGAGGTTCTACTATAGTTCATATTTTAAACCGATTTTGCAGATTTCATTTGAAAAAGATTACAGACTTTGTGATTCATTTTCAAAAATTACAATTTAATTTACTAAATAATATAGAACACTGGGTAACTTTTTCATCTATTCGTATTACAATTAAGTATAACAACAATGGAGTTACGTTTAAACATTGTCACAGTTAGTCCAATAATCACTATCAATCAGATAAAATAAATCATAGTTATTTAAGTAATGTAAAGACATTAAACAAAGTATCGTTTTAAATTAAGTATGTATTCAATATGTATTTTCTCCAGCACATATACTATGTATATAATTTATCCAAATCTTAAAATTATGAAAACTCAACGAACCCATCGCTAATTAAAACTTGTATTTTGCATAAAAGTTGTTGTTTCGTAGACGACTAATTTATGTTTAGTATTATGTCGTGAAGTTGATATGAATAGACTTAATTGAAGAGCACTTAACCTAACTACTATTGAACACTCCACAGTGAATTACAAATCATAACACTTACGCATTAAATAAAATATGTTATAGAATAATACTATGGTATTATACAGTAAAATGCATTTGGGGTATACGTAATAGGTTTTTTCTTTTAATTGAAGTAAGTGCTTTTACATTCTTCTTCTATGACCAATCCGTAGCAATAATGTAAACACGTCCGCGCACACTTCAAACTCGACCTTGTTACAATTATTTATTCATTAAAGTTAAATCGATTTAATTCGGATCGTTCTTGCGTGTTAGGGTTCTGATTGATTTCCATTCCACCCGAAATGTCCAGAGTACACAACATGTCTCCATCACCATAAATGAGAGGAGAGACACATCATACTCATGCAAGAAGCCTCCGGAAATATTCCGATCCTCTCAATGCCGTTGAGTGTCATCTCGGTCACAGCCACACTTAAGACTAAATGAACTCGGCCGTTTCACGACCCGAGGGGCATTTATTTAGACGGCACATTATTGCATTTGGCTGTGTAGTACACGTGATGGCCGTACGTAATCCAATAAAGTGGTTCACGTGTCCGCATTGTATGGAGTGAGACCTGATGGGCATGCCAGTTTAGGAAGCGCTGCCGTAATGAACGGGCAACGTCGATTAAATAATGTTGTTTGCGACCACCAACAGATGGCTGAAAAATATAAAAATTTGCTGTGCAAATATTGTAGAGTCCAGTCGTGGGTCCTCGCTAGATTACCGAAACATTATTTAATAGTACCGGTACACATTCGTAAACCGATCAATCTTGCACTAGCCCATTTGTCCGGAACCATTGCTCCTAGATAGGCGTTCAAGCATGAAACGTAGGAGCGTTCGCTTCTTAAATAATCGATAAAACGTTAAAACAATGTATTCTCAATTTATCCTCGCTGGAAATAACGCTGTTAAGATACATATCGTTATCGTACCAACTTCAATTTAGCCTAGTACCTAAACTTATATTCCTTACTGTTGTGTTTACTACACATTGGTTAAGTCTAAGTTGGTGGATATATTTGGGCGTGTAGGTATTTGTCAACAATTATTATTGAAATGAAGGAACGATTGTGCGGGGAGTTAAAGTTTAATTGATGTACGGTTCAATAGACAAAAGCAACACGTTTTAGACGAGATAGTTTATATCCTTACTTCATTATTCGTGCAGATAACTAAATATGTATTATAACCGAATTCATGCAATTGATTGGTTCGTAATATTTATCATTTATGAGATGTATAATTGATTATATTATTGTAATTAATAACCCACGTAGGTATTAGAAAAACTTAGAGTCCTGGTCAAGGCATTTTATGCTAAAACGGGAATCCCAATCAATGCACCTTTTGTGAACTGCCTTGGTTGAAAAAAACATAGTATTTCATAAAATAAATATTCTCTTAGTAATAATAATAATAATAATAATAATAATAATTGTCAATAAATGTTGAAGGAAAAGTGTTCGTCTGAGCATACGTCGATCCGATATATTATATTTTGTTCCAAGATCATTAAAACTTTTGAAAACTAAAAACATTACCTGGAAAGTCTATACATGCCAACAGATAATTATATAAATATAATATATTATATTATATTATTATATATAATATATTAGTATATATTATATTATTATTATATTTTATATTATAAAAGATAAATACACACTCACATAATGAAAGCATGGACTCATGCAAATTTATCTATAATGAGGGGAAATATTCTGTATCGAATATTGTTCGTATAATTATTTGATTATTATTATTCAATCCTTCATTCCGGTTTCGAAGACTCACTAAGAACTTTATAGAATCACCTATTCATATAATTATAATGTGTAAGTACACTTGTGAGAACTTGTCGTGAAACGTATAAATTTCGAATGAATTATGTGCAAGTACCGAAATCGAAATCTGACGATTTTTATTGTTCATGCTAATACACCTGCTTTTTAAGACTTCCAAAAACTTAAGCAAAAGCGATAATTTACATGGCTTCTATATTTGAAAACAGTTTGAGAACATTTACAAATCCAAGAGATGGGATTCACAGTTAATTATACTATTATATTACTGTATGCATTTATATTATTTGATTATATATTATATATATTAAGATTTATACTTAAAAATAAAGTAAATTTAGTTTGAAATATTATTTTACATGAAATATTTTTTTTATAATTTATAATTGCAACAATGTGTATTTACATAAATAATAATAAAGTAATATTTCTTTAACAGTTTAAACGGTATAATTAGTGTACGCATCATGGTATTCAAATACTTTATTTTGAAACTATGAAAGATACAAATGGTAAAAACGAGGAGTATATTATCAATAATTTAATTCTTCTGGAAGAACAAATAATAATTAAACAGGTCAATAAGTTATATAAATGTAAAATCGTGTAAATAAATTAAAACATTATATACAAGTATTTTTAAAAAAATACAATTTAACTTTAGACAATTTGTTTTTTTTTATTATTATTTTTAATTTGTCTTATATTAATAATTTACAAAAACCATAAATGTAAATTAAATTATAAATATTAATTTGTAAATGAAAATTCTTGGGACATAAAATTAAAATATTAAAATGGGAAATTAATTACTGACATTTTTGTGTATGCAAGTAACATTCATTGTATTTGTACATTTTGTATTCATATACGTTTGTATAGAACTAAAGTGTTGTAATTGTTCAAAGTGGAATACTTATGTGTAGTTTATTAAAGTTGCTCAGTAGACCACCAATATTAATTGAAATCATAATTGAACGTTCAATCATATTGTATGATGTTGTTACTAAATATTTTTAATTTGGTGATTTGAACAAGTTTATATTTCACATTTTATCTAGAACTCGAGTTTTATAAACCGTTGAAGCAAAAACATTCTAAGGATTTTTTTATGGTATTACTAAAATGTATTAAAAAGTGAGGCATGAGAGCTGAGCCCTCCACTCTTTTTCTTATACAAAAATCACAAACAATAAATTACAACATATCATATTTTTAATTATAAAGATAAATTTACAAAATTATATAAAATATACAAGCTTTAATAAAAAATAAATATAATATAATGCTTGAATTATTTCAATTGATTTCATATACTTCAGATCGCAAACTGTCAAATGTCAAAGAAGTATTAACTCATTAACCTTTAATAAATATCACTTCACACATTTTTAACTAAAAACCATTGATAACAATAAGAAAAACGGAAGGATATCACTTAACACTTGTCTCATGGATCGGTGGTATCAAGAGAATAATTCATTATTTATACTAATATATGAACTTAGCGTTGAACAAGAGCAGCGTTAAGGATATTAATCTGTAATTGTGATTTTTCATCTGTAAGTATACTAATCGTGTAGAAAATTATTACAAGTCAAAAAAAATATTTATTGATTACGATTATTTAATGTAATATTACCAAATATAAGTTGAACATAATAATACAATCCATTTAAAAAAAAAAAAAAAAGGCATAAAGGATTAGATCCATAGAAAATCCATCCGCCCTATCTCCTTTTGAGAATGCCCATGCGCTCAAGATTATGCTGTAAAAATAGAAACGAAAAACCTATTCTACGTGTATATTGTATGGTTAATTGATTACTATTTATTTAATCGATATCGCTTTCTTGTGTTTTTTATAATTATTCGTATTATGTAATTCACAGGAGGCCAGTTCCGACCTCACATGTCGACCAGGTGAAGAGCCAGGCGTGTTGGAATTGAACCTCCGGACAAGTAGACCGGATGGAAAACACGTGGCCCACCTGTTGGCCGGCACACTGTCCGGCGTTGCAGCCAGGTTCTACGGGTCACGACCAGACATCAGACTTGGCGCGGACCCAAGTGATCCATCCTTGTACAGGTGAGCCACTTTGTACTCGATAAAAATCAACAGTGACGGCATAAGGGACGGGTCAGGTAAGGCTATGGCCCTACCTGAAAATGCCTAGCCCTCACTATGGCTCTATCATTGACCCTACCTTAGACATAATATAGGTCATGGAGTTGCAAATTATTTTGATGCTACGTGCCAAAATTGAATTTTTTTTTTTTTTTGATTTGAATGTGTAATTAAATATTATAAAAAAATATTTATCATTAAAGTATTTAATATAAAAAATGTAATACTTAAATAAATATATAGTTAAATATCTTTGGTAATTATTCCTCATCTTAATGTGACGTGTCATGTTTGATAATCTTTTATTTGATTCCTTGATATTTGGTTTATAATTAGTAATTGTTGATAAAGTACATGCGGTTCTACATTCATCTGTTAGTCGGTTTATTAGATCAGATTTTATAAAATTAATTTTTTAAAATAGTGACTCGAATTAATAAGTTTATTAATAAAGATAAAAATATAAAATAAACATTTACATTTTTTGCGTGCTTTCTTGGGCAGATTGGTAGGAATGTTTCATATTTAAAACTATTTTAAAATAGTTTTGCCATAGTGCTGTACTAGTTTAATATTTTAAATATAGTGATTAGCTAATACTAATTATTTTTATTATGATTATTATTATTTTATTTTTGCTGAAATCTTATTTTTTTGTGGTCTTGCCTAAAAAAAAAAAATTCAGGCGCCGTCACTGGAAATAAGTCGACCGTTTTTTCGAATTCCCTCAAATAAAATGGAATCCTGGATTTCCGGATTACGGAATTGTCGGATCGGCTGTTGGTTATAATACACAAAGTGTGGTATACTTTACAGTTCAATAAGTATTGCTGCATTTCATTGTGTTGTTTAAAGAGCGAAATCGAAATATATATATTTTTTTCTCATTTTTTTCGAAAGTGTTTCGAACATAGATTCAAATTAAATATTATATGTAATTTTATATTAAATACATATACCGTATAATGCCAATGCGTATAGCCTTTTTTTATCGATTACATAATTCACTTCATCATTAGCGTTTAAACAATAAAACAAAACGACCAGATTGAACGAACTGTTTTGACGGACTGGATCTTATTTGCATACTCAGGAAGTTAATGTCTTATAATAACGTAAACATACCGTTTAGGTATACTAATCTTATGAGGTGAGTTTGAAATCGGACATCTTAATAATGTAATGAATTATAAACAAATTATATTTATTATATTACTACGTTTAAATAATTCAAAATGTTTAGTTTCTTGAACAAATTAAATATAATTTTGTTTGATGAATGTTGATATAATCTTTCTAGTCGTATGAATAATATAATATAATTTTTTATTTTTCATTGAATTAGAGGGGTGACCTAAACAAATTTATTTTGTGCGTTGTACCTGGTAAATGATATAATGACATTTTCATTTATAACATCCCTTAAGAAGGATTCACTTTTCCAAAAATACTTAGAAAATTAATAATCATGATTGCATTATTGTTTTATATTAACTGATATCGAAGAACTGCAATTTAAATTAATTCGAAAACTGATTTTTTACATAATTTTTAGTTTACATAATTAAACGGCGACACGACGTTGTTTACATGAATGAACATGACTAACAACGTTAGCACTACATAATAATAATAATAAATTATAATAGCTATAATAATATCCCACACAGCAAATAAATGTATTTAAAATATTTATTAAATATTCTACTTATAAGGAAAATATTTAATAATCATTTGTTTTTCATTTTATATATAAATTAAATTATATATTGTGAGTCATATAAATAATTATTGAACCAGAGACATATATTTTCTAAAAGACAAAAATTAAATATTTATTAAATATATATAAATATTATATATATTATATATATATATTATAAATATAAATATATAAAATTGTATAAATATTGTAACTTATTATTAAATAATTATTTTCTTGTAATTAATAAATATTTTTTTAGAATTTCAATATATTTGTTGAATATTTATTAAAAAAATTTTCAGAACTTATTAAATATTTGAATACTAAAATGTAATAAATTTTGTATTTAAATTCACTTTAAATTTATAAATACTAGTGTCTAGTTTTTTAAATGGATTAAAAATATTTAATATGTATTATGTACCTATATAAAATATAGATATGCAGAAGGAAACAAAGAAATTTATTTTATTTGGATACACGTTTAATAATTTAAGACACACGTTCAGACATTCAGTAATAAAAAAGAAACTGTATTATTATTTGATATATTATAATTTGTCCATCAAAATTATATCAACACTTTTAGAACTGACTTTTTTATACTTATAATACAATATTTAACACATTTATTATTGTTTTTTTTATTAGGTGGGATTTATCTACTTATACACAACTATTAAAATATAAACATAGTATGTATACGATCAGGAATATATTAATAGAATATCATTTTTAAAATGTAGTACATATACTCTTATTTAAAATGAAATTAATACAATAAGTTTGATATTAGTTTTAATCTGAGAGTCAAATTATATAAATAAAATCACTTCATTTGGAATACTAGCTGCTTGCTTATTATTGATATCTAACACTATTATTTGATGACCTGAAAATAAATTATCATAAAATTAAAGTTTATAATATTATAATTTCAAAGACTATATTTCATAGATAATGCTACTTTTTAGAAAAGACAAATCATTTCAAGTAAGTCAATAAAACAATTACAATAATATAAATTTTTATAACTCTTAACATATATGATCAAAATCTCCGTCTTTAATTTGTTATTATTGATCATTAATTTATAATATTTATATATTTTAAATATATCAGTATTATAATAGTATTATCTGAAATGGAACGTCCGAGGTAACGTTCTGGATCGTGAAAGAATATGAATGCACGTAGTTGTATGTAATCACATTTCTCTATTTTGTTATAATACATAAATAAACATACATTATAAAGGGCTTAGTAAAGCGTCGCATGTACAGACTTAATTAAGCGGTACCCCTTAGAATGACCGAACCTTTGGCTGGAGAAACACTGCGCAGGTTTGCTTGATTTGAAAGCTTCAATTTATATGGCCATATAAAAGAGAGAGCTTTCGTTGAAAATCTGTTTGCTCGAAGGGGTGGCGGCAAGAATGACCATGTGGAGAGGAAATTTTCTAGTGGCATTGTCAAATTGGCATACTGTTGTGACGTCGTAACCCTTGCTTTTCTGTTCATCAGATACTTCAAGTTCGGTGTTGTCTGGAAGAAGCCCTCCTTTGTGATAGGAAGGACCTTTCAAATAACGATCTTGACGGTTCTTTCTGTTGAAGACGGTACGGTGTAGAAATTGATTTTGTTTTTATGTAAATATTTTTGAACGATTCTAAACAGATCGATGTTGGCGCATTGAAGTTTGATGTTATTGTTGTTACAGGCCTTAGCTAGAATGCCTTCGGCTGGGACAGCGCTGGCCAGGCAGGACCTGGTAGGAAAATTGGCAGACATTTTGGAAGACGTTGTTCGATTTCAGTATTTGAGTCGATAAATGGGTTATTTGTGAATGATTTCTTATCTGGTGTAGGTTTGTTCGATGCATTGTAATTGTAAATGACTGCAGGTAGTCCAGGTGAGGCGGACGGAGAGTTCTCGTTTTCGCTGCCGCTCCAGCTGTCTTCGGAGCAGGATGATAATGATGAAGCAGAGGGTGTGTTAGTGGAAGTTTTTAGCAGCGGAGAGGTTCGGTTTTTCTTTGGGGCGATTAGCGGAGGAGTGCTAACGCATTTTCGTCCAGCGCCCTTGTGAGGCATGGCAAGTTTGTTGTCGGTTTGCTCACGTTGCTGGTGGAACCTTCGCGACGGTACGAGACCCGGACGCGTGCGCGCTTGGCGTCACTTGCCACGTGGTCGTGAGGGGTGTTTTGTAAAGATGGTTTACTTATGTACGTGTCGACGTTCAATGAAAGGTTTGACATTAGTCGGTCGTTTTTGATTGCTTAATTAACGGTGCACGGTTCTTTAGTTGAATCTAGTGATTACTGAACAGTGTACGATGCGATTGAGTTGGTCGGCGGCGAGGCGTCGATATATAATAAACATATTACCGTACCAATTAGTGAACTGTTTGCATAATTGGTTCATCCGGTGTCTAGTCGCGTCTACGTTTCCGGTGGTAGCTTCTCTCCCCTTGTTTCTATTATATCGTGGGTGGTGTCTATGGGTAGGTATTTTCATCCCCTATCCTATAGTGCCACCCCCGATCTCGTTATTGTATGTCCTTTTATAGTTGTAAAAAATATGTCCTATACTTACTATTATTTATTTTTCTTGTTGAATGGTGCTTGTGCCAAGTTAGTTATTTTATTTTGTCTACTGATGCATTTTTACATGATTTCTTACTTTTTTTAATACAATCTGAAAATAATACTTTTGTATACATAATAAATTATATATCTTATATACATATAAGATATGTACTAGTTGATTTAATTTTTTAATTTTAATTTATCTATTGGCTAAAATAAAATGTTATATCCAGATGTACTTTTTAAAAATAATAAGTTTCTATGTTATAATTTTTTTAATATAATTATTAGTTAATCATTAATAAATAGCTATCATAATATATAAAAATAAAATCAACATATACATAATTAACATTCAATAAATATGTACAGTGGAACCTCGCTTACTTGAATAGGAAAAAAAAATTCGAGTTACCGAACTTTTTTTTTTACTTAAAAACACAAAGATTTAATTTTATAATTTTATTTATTTATATATTTACTAATAAATGTAAAATCTATGTTGGTATGTACATTGTATTAAAATTTTAAAAAAGTATAAAGTAATAAATTGTGTGTAATAAAAAAAAAATACAATGTAATGAATAAAATAGAATTATTTTTTAAAGAAATCTGATATTTTTTATTATTTGACCTAACTCTAAATTTATCAATAACATTTAGCACGGAA